TGTGTGTGTGTGTGTGTGTGTGTGTGTGTGTGTGTGTGGGGCCGAACCCCGCCGTGCGCGATACAGAGAGCAGAGGAGGATTGTAAAGGTGCGACCATGTAGAGAGAAATGACATGCCGTCGTGTAAACAATATAAGTCATCACGTTATAAAGTGAAACGTTTCACCGTACAACACTATAAATAGTGTATTGTTATGTTATTATATGAAGCGCCTGTTGCACAAAATAATACAACTTTAGTTTATGAAGAGATCAGACAGAGCCCTCTCCTCTCCTCTTATATACTTCACTCACAAGTGTGTTAATTGACCCGGATATGAAGCGTCCGTAGCACCAAATAATATAATGGTAGTTTCTAAAGAGCAAAAAAACCCTTCAAATAAATTAGCAGCAGCGGTCATATTTCAGCAGCGGAGCACCACCGCTGCTAGTTGCATATAGGGGAAACTCTGTTGCTCAATGGATTTGTTCTGTTTTGGAATACACAGTATTCTTCCAAGTTAGTGTATTTTAATATTCACAATTTTGCTTCGACAAGCTCTCTCTTTTTTGACCATACACCTGTTTGCATCCCTGAGAATAATGCCCAACAACATTGCTCAAAAAGTTGCTCTGTGTATCATCAGTCCAACAGTTGTGTTGGTGAGTCAAAATGAATGAGGGCTGCGCAATATTAGACAAAACTGACAATGCGACGACGATTTTGTATACTGCGATATGTATTGCAATGTACAGTGTATTGCAATAACTTGAATAGCTCTATTTGGAAAGAAGTCATCATTTGGGCTTTGGAAAGACTGTATTTGCATGAAATATACATTTTACAATCAAACTGTCATGGAAATTGAGAACTTCACAACCTAAAGTATTAACCAGCAAAATAAGTATGGCATATTGCCTTTGACTGATATTATATTAATAGGATGAACTTATACTGCGAGTCTCACAATGTGACTATTGCACAAGAACACATTGCAATGGTGATGTTCTAAAATGATATTGTGCAGCCCTAAACTGAATTGAATTCTATGGTTCATCATAGAAAAATAATTAGTTTTTGGATTGGATTTATGACCTCTGGACCATTTTTGCACTGCATAGGAATGACCCCCATCAAGTTGTTGGAAGTAACTAAGTAACTTCTACTTTAAGTACATTTTAAACAAACTACTTTTTACTTTTACTTGAGTAGATTTTTAGATGGGTAGCTTTACTTGTACTTCAGTAGAATTTCATCAAAGTAAAGGTACTTTTACTTGATTAGAATTTTTCAGTACTTTTTCCACATCTGCTGATGTGATACAGGTCGCACTTGAAAATGAGACCTCTGGTCTCAATGTGATTTTACCTGTCCTAAATAAAGACTTAATAAAAAAAAAAATCTACGTGACTGGAGGAGCTGGGGATCAAACCCCTGATCTTCCAATTGGTAGACGACCCACTCTACCTCTGAGCCACATATTGAGAAGAGAACAGGAATAAACATGCTAAGATGGTGACCATTGTAACATTACCTGCTAAACCTCAGCATGTTGGCATTGGTATTGTAAGCATGTTAGCATTAGAATTTAACTCAGGCTCACAGAGCTACCAGTGTAGCTTTAGACCCTCTAGTCTTATTAATATACTTTCAGAAGAGTGAATGTGGTTGGTTACTGAAAACATGCAGTGTTTTTACAGACCTGAGGCCAGTCAATTATCTATGTTTAACGTGTTGTTTCTGTATTTGCTGTCATACAGACCTCCAATTGTTCTTCAGTTTGGAGTAGTATTTTCAAAATGTCATTTCATTTGTTCAGATATATCTAATAAAATATTGAACACAGTGGATGTTTATCAATGAATGCTTCATTATTGGTCCAATAAACAATGCTGGTCAATAAGAAAAAATCTCTCATCAATAGTCTTATGAATTAAAATACTCCTGATACTAGAACATGGTCTGCCACAACATAAAATCTTGGATTTAAAGTGGTCATCCTTTAATTTAGCCTCATGTTTTTGGTGGGAAGTGATCCTTTGTGTGTTTCTATAAAATGCTCTTCCATGTAACAACTGTTTTACTTTAATTTTCTCTTCATGAAGTGCAAGCTGCATGTAACCAAGAGTTCTTCTTTAACTTACTTCTATCTTATTTCCATCTTCTCTCCATGTCTGATTTAATTATTTGCAAACAGCAGCTACATGCATGCAGTTTCACAATGACATGAATATAAATTGTCTTTGAGATTCACAGGTGAGTTACAACACTATCTCCTTTGTAAATTTCTATGGAGAAACAAGCTGTTTTAACATATTTAAGTGACCACTTTTATGTTTGTACCACTGATGTTGTGTATCTATAACCCTTTCATAACCTTTTCTGTTGTTTTGATTAAAAACAACAGTTGAAAAAGTTGATTTAAATGAAATACCATTAACAAGGTTAATAGCTGGAAATTTCTTCACAATACCTGTAAGCAAGGTAAAGTGTGTGGGGCTGGTGATGGTGAGGAAAGGTGGTGTGACGTATTCTGCTTTCGTCCCGTCCTGGGCCATCTTATCCAGGTTAGGGGTGTCCACATCTCGGTCGTAGTCCCAGCGGAAACCGTCGAAGGAGATGAGGAGCAGCTTGTTCCTGGTGGACCCAGATCCTGAAGTGTCGCGTGGTGGGACAACAGCACAGAAAGAGCTGCCAATGAGGCAGAGGACAGTAAGGCAGAGCAGCAGCATTACAGAGGAATTACACTGAGACTGGACAACAAACTTCTATGTGTGCAGGTTCAAAGTGTCTATTTCCTTGCCCCTTTCTCCTATGAACTGTTTTCTCTCAGTATTGCAACAAACTGTTCTGAGCCTTGGAATCTATATGATTGCTTCTCTACCACCTGAGTACCAAACATGACCTGATCTGAAGCAAATCTGACTAAGGCAGAGGCTGATAACCCCAGACTTTATCTGTACCCACACCCAAAGAAGATGCATCATCTTATCTTATCAACTCATAAAGACATCAAATCTACATTTATACAACTCTGTGTTTTTTAGGTTTATTACTCCAGTATACAGCCTTTTATATTCCTCTTCCTGCGCCCTATAAGTAGAAGATAGTACAATGGCCACATTAACCAGAATTGGCTGTTGGTCACCTACCAACAACCCCCTTTTACCACCTGGCTCAAGGCTGGTAACAAGGGAGGCCACACATCGATATATTAGTCAAAAGATTATTTATTTAACTCCCTTCACATGTCATATGTCAAGATGAAATGGTTGGAGAAAAAGACACCACAGCATAAGCCGCTGATTTAGGTTTTGGAGTGAGTGGAGAAAGGTTAGGGGATTATGATCGATGTACACCACTAGGTATTACTCCAAAATAAAATAAACCTGAAAGTGTTGCAATGCCCAGAGATGTGCCAGTGCCTCTTTTTCAGTGTCTGAATAATTCAACTGATGTGAGTTTAACTTTTTAGAAAAGAAACTCATCGGGCAGTAGACAACATTTTTGTTAGCCTGCATAACAAGCCTGCGTACAGCACCAGCTTCCCCCTTACTGGCATCTACATACAGCAAGAAAGGCTTGTCCATCTGTTGAGCTGCTAGCGCAGGGGCAGAACACAACAAAGACCTGACAGACGCCTAAGCAAACTCACCTTTCGCCAGATTAATGGTCAGACAAGCCCAGGCCAGACGGTTAAAGAGGGCCTGGATGCGCTGGAGACGTTATTCCCAAGAGTCACTGTATATCGCAACTGGGTGGGGCATTAGACAACAAAACTGGCATAACTGTGTAAGAGTACAAACTACTAGGTGTAATGAAAGCAGCAATCTCCATAGCTCTAGGACTCTAAGAACCTGCCAGTTGCCCTTAAGCAAGTCAAACTTACTGACTAGTTTAGCAGAGCCGAGCTGGTCCACACAGTCTACCATGCGCGGGAGAGGAAAAGAGTGAGGCATAGTCACTTGGATGACTCTTTTGACAAAGCACACATCCCAATGCCACTCCTAGCCCTCCTCATCCTCACTACACCACTGACTCACCTTACCCCTTATTCCCCCCCATCTTTCCCTTTAATTCACCCACTGTTTTTATTGTATTTTTTTTCTATTTCTCAATTTCTGTGTGTCAGTTTAAGGTAAGTGGATATGTCTGGGATTATGCACAATATTAAATAAATTGTTTTAGAACTAGGCCTCTCACTGAAACACGTTCTACAAGATTACTTGGTGCTTTGGGCCCCTTGGGGGACTGAGGCTGCAGGGTGGTTGCCTGCTTTACCAAGCTTTTAATCCAGCCAAAGACAATTTTAGAGTAGTGACTTCCTGTCCTGTTCATGAATTTATGCCTGTCTGAGGGTCGTAGTGACATCACTGCTGTTTGTATGGCGAGTCTTTGAGCCTCACAAGCATGTACAGAAAGGACCTTCATCAATAACCACAGCACCGTAAGTAAGTCTTTGTCCATGAAAATGTCGTACAGCAGCTCAAAATTGTGCAAATGGGGGCTGAGTGTATTAGTGTGAACCACCACAGCCAATAGCCTAAAGTTGTGTGCATTCATTTCGTGTGGACGGGAGACAGAAATGGCAAGAGCAACATTATTACAGCACATTTCACAACACAAGCATTACATAAAATATTACATTACGTAAAATAATTGATGAGTCATTCTGCTCGGTTCACTGCATGTGCCCCCATGTTACTGTGATATTAGGTGTGTTTATGTTGGTGAACTTGGGCTAGATGGATCTTGCTTGAGTTTCTAACTTGGAATTCAACTTAAATGGATGTTAAATGCCATTTCAATTTTTCATAGGAATTTTTTTTTCCAAATCTGAGTACAATGGATTGACATTGCAGGTCAGAGATTACTTCTCTGGTTTCTGGCTTTAAGAGAGAGTAGCTCATATTCACAAATATTACCTGAACATTCCTAACCCTTTGAAATTATGTATTGGAATTCTTAATTGAGGTTCTGTTCCTCTTTCAAAGCAGTTTTACAAAGTTGTGTTTCAGTAACTTCCTAAACATGGCAAAATGTGCTTATGTATGATGTCACTATCAGATACTGTTCTCTACATAACCCATTAAAGGATAACTTTGGCATTTTCCACCTGGACCCTATTTCCCCATGTAAATCGATCAAAGAGACTGATGTGAACAACAGTTTTGTAGGATGAGTCAGTACTGAGGGTGTTCATGGGGCAATCAATCAATTCAATCAATTTTATTTATAAAGCCCAATATCACAAATCACAATTTGCCTCACAGGGCTTTACAGTATACGACATCCCTCTGTCCTTATGACCCTCGCAGCGGATAAGGAAAAACTCCCCAAAAAAAAACCTTTACCGGGGAAAAAAACGGTAGAAACCTCAGGAAGAGCAACTGAGGAGGGATCCCTCTTCCAGGACGGACAGACGTGCAATAGATGTCGTAACTGGACATCACCACTGTATGTCCATTAAAAGTGCTTATTTCTGCCACTGAGCAGCTCAGATTTCTCTATCTTTCACTTGACCTGGTCTGTTTGTTATTGCCTTATTAAGCAGAAGTCTCTTTCTGAAATATCACAAGATGTCACTTGTTGGAAGAAAACAACAGTGGAAACGTGAGATCTGGAGAAAGTATAATAATCAGAATAGTCTACAGTAAACACGGTTAAGTGTTATCTAAAAGATATTCAGTGTCATGGATGATTATTTACCTGATTTCAATCATGTGAATGAGGCTTTTGAATTTGACTGCTGTCTGTATGTGAACTGGAGTAGCCTATACGGATGAAGAGCGGATGAGAAAAGAGGAAGAGGGAAAAAAGGCAGCAGAGGGTGAACCAGCAGGGAGGCTGAGCGTGACCTTCTGCCCACAGAGGAAAAATGTTGGTGTTGTAAAGAGAGTGGTTCATGTTTGTGCATTACCAACCTGTGCCAACAAATTGAGGAGCTACACTTTAAGCAGCTGTCATAGACTATCTTTGTCAGATTTGGACACAGTAAAGTTTTGGCTAGTTTATGCTACAAATGGATCCTAACACCCCTGTCCATACACTGCGCATGCAGACCTACAGGTTTGCAGTGACCCACTGGCATGACTACTATCTTTGAGAATAGAAGAAATCCAGAGCTTATTTTCCTTAAAAAAAAAACAAAAAACAAACTACTGTTCCAATAGGTGGATCTACCTGATGCAGACGAGTGCAGGTAGGCTAATGCTAGTAGCTAAAGTTATTATGTTTACATTGCATTGCATTGCATAAAGTATGGCAGGATAATGGCAAAAACAATCATTCAATACACAATTAGGAGGTGCAAAATATCAACTGATTCAGCACTGATTATAACAAATTATATAGATTCATTATCCATTTTCATCAGTTGACATGTATTTATGCTTCTGTATTATACAACCTATTATACATTTCTATTATATTTCATGCCTACATTTGTCCTTCCTATGAATCATCATGCAGGAGATACCTACTGGCTATGAATGACAACGGGAATGTTAGTTATTATACGAGCCCCTACACATGGTCTTTTCTAATAACATAATCATTTGTTATCCTGACAGCAGGGAAATTTCTGGTTTTACAACAGCAAAAGTGATAGCATCAGCAAGATGTAATGAATATGTAAATGACAAAATAAAAACCTCTGCTGCCTTTTCTTTCTCTCTCTCCTTGTCCACTTTTCATGCATATACTCCCTCACAAAATACAGGTGGCGATAGAATTCAAAGGCCTGAAGACATTTAAAATCAGGTAAATAATCATCCATGATATTGAAAATCTATTAAAAAACAGTAAAATCTGTTTTCTGTAAACTACTTTGGTTATTATGCTCTAAATCCCACTCATGTTTCTCCTGTTGTCTGACTGAAACAAGTGACATCTTGTGACATCTCGTGATATTTCAGAACAAGACTTCTGCTTACGGAGGCAATAAAAAACAGACCATATCAAGTGAACGGTAAAGAGACACTTCATATACTTAGAATAACAATCTGAGCTGCTCTGTGGTCAAAATAACTACTTTTAAAGGACAGTGATGGTGTTCAATTGCCCCATATGTTTCCATTACATCTGCTGGCCACTGCCCTCAATACTCACTCAATACTGGACCAGTTTCAAAAATTGTTATTTACATCAGTCTCTTTGACCAAATGGGGTCCAGGTTGGAAAAGTTATCCTTTAACTGTAATCCCAGGTCATAATAGTAACCAAAAAAACATTTCCTTTTTCAGGATATACAGTGATTTACTTTTTATGGTTTATGAGTACAATTGGTATAAAACATTGTAAGGATGAAGTCAGCAGTGCTCCACAACAGCCGGTAATAACCTTTAGATATAACCAGTGTTGGGGGCGCGACCTCCTCCTGTGTATTCGTGAGTCTTTCTAATTAAAAAGCTTATATCTCAACAGTTTTACCACAAAGTATTACTTTCTTGACCTTAAAATTTATGTTTTAAATTCATTAACGACATATTTGGATTTCATGTCACAACTCAAACGGGACCAAAAGATAATATTTCTCTCCTTATTCACTGCCATTCATATTTTTTCCGATCTAAGGTTCCATGAGCTTCACCGGAAGGGGCGTGACTTCGGCACTCCATACGGCACAACAGCTGCTGGACACGGAGACGACCTGTTGGTAACACCCTGAAGCCCGTCGTCACTAACTCTTAAAGGAATAGTGCACCCAAAAATAAAAATTCAGCCATTATCTACTCACCCATATGCCGATGGAGGCTCAGGTGAAGTTTTAGAGTCCTCACATCCCTTGCGGAGATCCCAGGGGAGAGGGGTAGCAACACAACTCCACCTAATGGAGGCTTACAGTGCCCCTGATTCAAACGTCCAAAAACACATGATTGAAACCACAAAATATCTCCATACTGCTCGTC